CACAGTTGAAGGAGGCGATTGTGTTCATGTTTCGTAGGAGACCAGGAGAAGGGAAGTCTAGTCCAGTAGGCTCTGATCCCACATCAAAAGCAGTATAATCCAGGGGTAGGAAAGAAGTGCTAATGCAGTAATGCTGTAATTGTTCCAAAAGCTGCCCCCGATAGGGCAGGGGCGTAGCTGAGGTAGGGCCTGAGGGGGCCTGGGCCCTACCATCAAAGTGGCCTTATAATTATATTCATTGAAATTATAACCCAAAAGATTATATTCATTGTTCTTACAATAACAAAAGGGGGTGGCTGATAACCATAGCTCTTTTTATAGCTATATACAATGATAATTTCACTCTGATTTCGCTCAGCTTGCAGGAAAATGCCTCAATTTTGTTACGTAAAAGGGGTGTGGCCAAAATTGCGGCGCGCTTCGCGCGCCATTTTGTTTCCTTGCCCTACCATCACCCAAGGTCCAGCTACGCCCCTGCGATAGGGACCAGGTCCTCTCTTAGCTGATACTCTTCAAGTTTCCTCTTCCCTAACTCCTGCCAGTACCCCTGGTCAAGGCTACTGCTGAACGGGAGGAACTGCAACCATCGCTCACAACTGGCAGCCATTGTATCCTTGCAGCCACTCCCTTTTTCCAGCAAGAAAATTGATTACAAAATTTTTTAAATACTTGAAAAATACACAAAAATACTTTTGTGTGATATACTTTTGTGTGATTATTAAAACTATGCAATAACAACAACAACAACAACAATAATAATAGTAATAATACGAGGCATTACAATCAGAAAAGGCAATGAATATTGATTTAATACTCTTTATGAGCTCTATCTGATTGAAGAAATTTGTCCAAACTAGCCTTCACTCTTCCAAATTTATCAGGATAATCTTTACAAACTTGAAGAGCATTCCTCCAGGTCACTCCTTTATTGGACTCAATCCATCTCTTGAATACTGACAGTAGCTTATCGGAGGCTGACTTTTCACTATGAGACAAGTCGTCCACTGCAACTTCAAGTGCAGTACCAATAGTTGAATAATGAGCAGCAGAACTATCAAAGAGCCTATGGAGGTCCTTTAATTTAGGCTCCTTGCCCAAAATGTCTGTGAATAAACAGAAAAATAAATTTAATACTAATAAATACTTACCTTCGATTGAAACAGGATGATCTTTTATAAATTCTAATTAATAACATAAATTAGAGATTAACAAATAATGTATACTGACCCTATTGAATGCATACTAGTGCATTAATAAAACACATTACTATTATGCTACTAGTTATATAAACTGGTTAGACCAGTTAGAACACAAAAGTACAAGACTGATATCAGTAAAACAGGAATACATACATGTACGACATTGTTTGATGCGTGTGTGCTTACCTTTTGCAAGTCCCTCCAGTACTCTTCTCTGATTATATTCATTAATGTCCAGTACTGACTGTACTACTAAATCACCAGTACCAGATACTAATAATAATAATAATAATAATAATAAGGCCACTCCAATTAAATTAATAGTTTCCCGTTGCAGACGCGGGGGTCATGCGGGCTGGCGCATTTTTCATTATTAGGTCCAATTTTTCATTATTATAATTATTTTTATTGTATTTTTAAAATTAAAAAACCATTTTCCAATTTTATTTTGAAGTTACCTGATAAAAAAATAACAAAAATGAGAAGGAAAAAGAACAAAAACTGAAGGAAAGGAATTACAATTGTAGCTACAAAAACATCAGATCACTCAGTATAATTATGCTGTCACAATATACACATTAGTAACTCATTAAAGTGAGATCTTATTTCTGTCCTCTGTTCTCTCTCCCCGCAAAAGCATTGTTTAGAACCACAGATAAATCTATAGCTTAGTCTCTCAAAACATCACACTACAAATTGCTAGTCAATCTCTTTCTATGTTTAAAGTGTTATGGCATATTGTAGTCTAAAAAACTGTTAAAAAATGATGGTATACCTTAGAGTTGTACCGATACAGGTTTTTCTAAATATTCCGATAAACCGATTTTCATAAAATTAATCAGCCGATATTTTAACCGATACCAATATAAATTCAATTTTTTAATATT